AAAGATTCGCACGAAGCGTTACGCTTCCACATTTATATGGCGAACGGCTATGGAGTGGAATTCCCTGCCTGCAGACTTGTTCCCTGAACGTTATAACTTGGACCTTTTCAAGGCGAGAGTGAATAGGCATTATCTAGGTGTGCATGCTCCATCGACGACCTCATCGTCACTTTCCATCAGGTGAGATGGAGGTCAAATGCACACTTACATTAGAATAAAAAAAAAATTTTTTTTTGCTAAACTAAATTAATAAATATTAGACAACATCGCATACCAAATTCAGTACATATCTGATGCCAAACTAAGGAACTAAAGCATTTGTGTTCTGGAAATCGAAAACAACGACGGTACCACAAACACCCAGAATCGAGACAATATAGAAAAGTTAGATTTTCTTAATTACCCGTTGTTCTACTTCGTTGACCCGGCCGGGGATCTAACCCGGGACCTGAAAGATGACAACACTTTGAAAACCGGTATGCAAGCCACTCGACCATGGAGGTCATCAGAAACTAACAACGTTCATTACTTAATTCGTGACTGAGATAAAGAGCATAGATATTTTGGATTGTGTTCAAAAACAGAAAACTGTAAAATTTGTGATGAGAGAACTTTAAGAAAATATGCCTATTATCACTTAACTAAGTAACATGTTTTTTTATATTTTTACCAGGACTCATATAACCTGGCTTCTCGCCCGGTGCCCGCTTGACGTTGAGTTTTCGGACCACCTGTATACCTATATGGTGCATCATACTTTTAATAAATAAAACATATCGTACACTATATAACATATATTAAGTACATATATAAGACAATGATAAACTTATATAGGGTTTTGCAACAAGAAACAATCGCACAATTTCACGAAATTTAGCTTGTTAAGTGGCCAGCTCGATCATGTGATTTAACACTGCTGGATTATTTTTTACGGGGTTATGTTAAAGACAGAGCCTATACGGCGCCATTCGAATCGATTGCAGCCTTGAAACTCAAAAAAGGAAATAGACCCACCATTTTGTCAAAAAGTTATTAAAAACTTTAATGAAAGAATCGACATCTGTAACCGTGGTCGTGGTGGACATTTATCAGATATAATTTTTCCTACTTTAACCTATTACTCCCCCACCACAGCTCACCTCCTAAAATCTAGTCTCGCGTTAAAATACTTCGCCTCCTCGTCATATAGGTTGGTAAAGTCCAACAAGATATACCCTATATTGCGACCAATACAATGTCACAATGTCTTCTTAAAAAAAAAAAAACAAATCGGAAATATACCACATACAGATTTATACAAAGGCTTCTTCTTTCATTTTATTTGCGTCGTAGAAGGTTAAGTGCCGCAAACAACATTTTATTACAGAAGCAGAGATACGTTAGATAATAAAAAAATGTATTCCACTTTCTACCTAAAATCATAACCGTTAAGAATAACAACGTTACATAAGTCGTGGAAGATAAAAGATTACAATTAGTTACAGTATTGCTATGTACATAAGAATTACACTATTTGACAAAACATAATTAGTATAAACAGGTATTTTTGGTATTCTCTCCTGTGGCCTAAAATGTAAATTCTACTTTTAAATGAGAGCAACGGCATTCCCCGTCATTGGCACAGTCGGCCGGGGTCAGGGACCCAAGGTCAAGAACCAGCGAACGATACGTAACAGTATCGAGTAGTGCCGCTTTCTACACTACATAAATCTTAAAATTGTTTTGCTGGAAGTAACACGTTTATTACGACAAAACCAATGGGATTATTTCCATATAGGCCACACTCCACATGTGGCTTAAAAGATGCAAGCCATAAACACTTTGACTTTGATATATTTTTAAATGGAAGAGGCGGTATTCCCCGGCAACGGGACACTCGGCCCATAGATTTTATCGGCCGTATTTTAGTAGCAGTAGAGCTCCTTGTGGAAGAGTTCGTCTAGGAAGTAACCGCCACCTAACTTAATTCTACCGCCAAGAAGTTCCGGTTTAGAAGGGTAAGGGTGAAATTGCAGGCGCATGGGACTTGTCAACTTATGTCTCAGAGTGACGGGCGCAGTGGCAGTGCCCATAAGATCTTTGCAATTTAAAGCTCTGAATGGCACTGCATCTGTTATGAGTAAGCGTATCGTTAGAATAAAAGATTAGATTGATTACTATTACTGTGACTTGCACAAGTAAGGTGCAGCGTTTCGTTATTGCGACCAATAATTAGGTCAATTGTGATTACCACTAATTACGATTCAGATCAAGACCAATAACATTAGTGAGCTGTAGGATTTTCTCAGTGTCTCTATGGCTGATGTATAGTTTGTCCAAGATTGAGTAACGTATGCCTGTTAGAGGGCAACACTGGCTTAGGAAGTGCAGAGGCAATTCAAACGCCTCATAGCGGAAACTGCAGTCTTTGTTGTCACTTAGCTAGAGGTCGGAGATGTGCTTATTGAAACAACAATGTCCTGTGAGAGGCCTTGTCAGCATTTCATTTGTTTGGTACTTTAGGCGTTAATTACGACACAAGTAAGTACGATTGCATCGTTTGCACCGCACTAAACTTTAAGGAAACTGTTAAGACATTCGCTTTATACTACTCACAAGATCTGAAATAGGCAAATATATATAAATTGCCATATAATAAACTACTTAAAATGAAATAGACTAACTGAAACCCAAACTCAGAATAGCTTGGTGTCAACTGACTTCCCTCTGATATCCACAGATAGATGGGGATCCAATATCTAGAAATAAAGACTGCGGCATCGATCGGTGATTAAATACTTCCGTTAAGGTGTAAAAGCACTTAAACGAACAACGAAGTTTCACAAACAATAATACGGATTCAGAGATGGGCAGTTGCTGATTATAACCCTGCACTGTTTTTCTATCACTCATTAATCTCTAGGAAGTTGTGGACAAGTCAATTGGTTTTGCTCTTACTGTCATTTATTATAATTTTACAACCGAATTAATATAATTTACAATATGATGATTGATGTTTTTAAGAATGTAGCGACAGTGGAAGATCAAAAGCTACCACTGTTCTTGCACTTAGTAAAAAGCAATTCGGAATCTTAAACAAATTGTATCATCAAGGGTCGTATTCTAGAACTCTACTCAATGCTCAAGTCAGGATTGCAATGGAAACACAAGCACTGGAAATACGACCCTAATGGCAGCTACTTGAGTATGATTTCGAGTGCTTTAAACCATACTCAAATCCTGACTTGAGCATTGAGTAGAGTTCTGGAATACGACCCATACAATGTCATGTAAACCACGAAAGATCGAATAAAGTGCAGACATTATATTGTTCGCGGTCGCGATCATAATAAAGGAAATGACGAGGAAGATGCAACCCATAATAACTAAATAACGATACAACAAAAAATAGAGACAAGGTACAAGGGGAATCGATAATCGATTTACATAATCAATAATGACAGACCAGGTGCAAGACATCGATGATAGACTTGTGCCTGATCGGTCCTTAGAGGGAGCGATCCTAGTTAGTTCAATCGGTCAATTGAACTAGGTCGGTCTTCCAGTTCATTTAGTTCATCTAGTTCCTTAGTTAGTTAGTTCGTCTTGTCCTTGCTCGGACATTGAACGAACGCTCCAAACTAGTAATTTTATTCACATGAACTACTACGGACTTCTAGTATTATGAGGTCAATACTACACTGTACTAAATATTTAAAAATACAATTTGTATGGAGTCGGTACTATTTGATTTTCTTTCATATTTTACAGGTTTAGGTCATTCTAACTAAATATCCTTTTTTTACAAAATAAGAATTTTAGTTAGAATGGTGTGTTTAAAAATCAATATTTAGGTACAACTATTTCTTATACTCGTACACGTAGGTTGATATTATACATACAGTTACCTACCAAGAAATATTACTTTTTGCAAGATTGTATATATACATAATGTAGATACATATTAGAGACTTAGAACGAGCTGGCAACGTTCAATCGTGCATCCCACTCGAATTTGTACTAAAAGTAGTGAAAGATCGCTACTTGTCCCGCTCGCACCGTTCCTACTGTATAAAAGACAGGTGAACTATCAACGCAGACAGTTCCTAGTTCGTACTGAACTAAAAATAAAACGATGAACTATTAAAACCGAGTAAGACGAACTATTTCATGTCGGTCAGTGTAGGGAATATAGTCCTAATAGTTCGTAGTTCATGAACTATACAAGCCTAATCGATGATTTACAGTTTAAACGCAATGACAGCGAAAATTTGTATTGAATTGTAAGTAGACTCGGATCCAATCGAATAGAAAGCTAATTCATAATGATCCACACACAACACACAGACTTTCATTATCGTTTTTTATCGTATTAAGATACATTGAAGAACCAAATGGCCGTTCTTCTACAATGATGACTGTACTGAACTTCTGTCAAATGATAAACGAATTCAATATTGAGCTTGATGTATCACTTCACAACATATTGCAAAATAACATATCCGATGACACGATGATATAGATGATTATATAACGCATTCAACGTTTTTATCAATCAATATCAATGAAGACTTAATACAATCGATAATAGTCTACACATTTAATAGGAAATCGACGATGACTCATTCCGGATTTATAGAGGGTAAACTTCAATGAACGGAGAAAATTGGTCTGCGGCTGCATAATAGGTATAAGAATCGATCAAATAGAAAGTGTATTGATATCAGACCGTTGGAAATTATAAGTAAATTCTGACTTAGCAATATAAAACGGATCAAGGGCACCAATAAACAAATAACGGATTTACGTATGAAAATATTTAAACTACAATATTGGAAACCGTGCAAAATCTTTTCCTTATCTTCGATTATTCTTTGAGTTTATAAAGAGACGTTTAAAAAGTTGAAGTTAAGAAAATTGTATTCAACGTTACATTGCTTTGTAGTGTAACGATAGATACGCAGTAACATCCAAAATGTACTTTTACCTGCATGTTAGGAAATGCAAAAAAAGAGACAAACCTTGGCACACAAATGGAGTGGTAGACACCGTGGTTTCGCAGCACGTGCACGAACTCCGGTAGAGTGCGGCACGCGCCCATGATGCTGAACAGTGCCAATGCACTGTTCCATACTATCAGAGTCCGCCGTAGCTCGAATCTGGAAACAGAGACACCAACATTAACAAATCAGATCACAGGTTATATAGATAAACATACACGGAACGTCTATGAACGCGAGAAATGTCTATAAAAAGAAAGTTGGAATATGTCACAGAATAAGTACGAGGAAACTAAAGAGATTTGTTTACGGAGCTTATACAACTTTGAAAACGAAACATTGCTACAATAATATCACATTTCGTGGTCACGTGGCACTACACAAAGTCGAAACGGGCCTGATAAACTGGTTAGGTAACTTTTAGTGTCGTCTGTTTTTGATCAATTTCTATTCAATCTTGTCGTGTGATGTAATGCAGATTATCGAGATCCCAGTCCTTGTTTCCATACTTAGTTTTTACTTTAGTTTTTAGTTGCTACAGGCATTACAAAATCATAACTTAAGAGACAAATAACAATACTTGGTTGTGACGTCACAATACAACGACATCAGTCCATGTATTGTCAGCAAAACCAGCACACAGTGTGAAGCAACGGTTATCAAGCCTTCGGTAATCAAAACTCTTGCGTACGACTTTCCATCCTAGTTACTTAGGCCATTGTCAATTGCGAAACTGAATTTCCATATTCATTGAACCATAAACGTCTTCGAAGCCTCTAGACTTCTAGGTTACAACAAGACTTCTACCTACGACAGGGTTCCATCAGAACACGATAAAAACCACGATTACATGAAGTGGACTTGTTTGAATGTTTATGAAAATATTACATCGAATTAAGATAAACTACATATATTTAAAACAAACTTAGCAGATAATACAGTTACCAAGAAAGCTCTCTCTATGCTCAATGTTCATGATGACTGATAAAAATTGAACTGCATTCTCCGATAATACCAGACACGCGCTTAGCTGAACGCAAAAAATGATATCGCGTGTGAGTGACTTCGTTCCACAAGAATAGGTCAACAGTAATATTACGCTTATTCCAAAAAACTATGTAATCCAATTAACAGTGAAAAGATGATTCTCGAAGGATGGTGTACAAATAGGATAGTGCAATGGAGTACGTCCTGATTTCGTCATCATTTACCCAAGAATGAAAACTATCTACGATCGGTAGTACCTATATGAAGAAACTCGCTAGTTAGTCATAGAATAATGAAATATGACTTGTAACAGTCTAGAAAAATCTAACGTTCAATATTTGGTCATCCATTCGTTGCTCAGAAAGGAGGAATGTTCTTTTCTTATGAAATATCGTTTACGATCGAAAGTTAGCAAACTTAATACGTACACTACGTCATTTTAGACGTATTGGCCTATACATCATCATCCACAGCTCGACTTCACCTATCGCTGGGTATAGGCCTCCTGTAGTTTGTGGCATCCACCACACTCTTGTGCTAATCTCACCCATCTACTGCCCGCAACTTTGACAATATCGTCCACCCATCTCGCTACAGGAAGTCTCACGTTTCTATATCCATTTCTTGGCTACCATTCGGATATCGGCTACTCCACTTGTGTTCACCACGTTTCGCAACATGTTCAAACCAGCTGCATTTTAAACACGTTATCCGATCTCCTACGCTTTGAACCTTAGTTCGTCTACGGATTTCGGAATTCAGTACACAGCCTTCTGTGTGAGCGTCCACGTCTCGTATTGGTCTATTAGGTTGATTGTTACTAAAATTGCCAAGAAAAACTTTGAAACTTGAGGCTATTTACGTTTAACATTAGGATCAGTTTGTAAACTACAGATGTTAGTTGCGACATCGACGGAAATGACCGTAAAATGGTGAATAAAGTATATCGATTTATGGTTCGGGTAGTTATTATATATATATTCAATAAAACTGAAGAAATGTTCATGTTGCAAAACTGTATCCACAGCGAACATTTTCTTGAGTTATGTTTGGGTATAATGGGTTACGTGTATCCATATCAAAGTCAGCTTTTATTGGTTTTACTTTTTTTTTGGTACTGATTTTTCCGTTGGAATTGCACACTTTTCAATTCTTTAAGTATTCTGTCTTAGACTCTTTGGTTAACGTGCAAATACCCACTTAAGACAGCGGTGGTAGCTTTGTAGGAGAACTGTTACTTCTCAATGAAGAGGTCGACGATTCGAATCCCCATAGCGGCATGCATATATGACTTGAGCGCAGGCTACACGGCGAACGAAGCTAGCTAACTTAGTTTAGCTCACGTAGTTACATGCAAAGCTAAGTTAAGAAAAGATGCAGTAAGTAGTGACGTGCAACACTATGGACAAGCGCGGGGGTGATAGGCGGCAAAATGGCGACATATTTTACATAGCTAGCGGGATCGTCGGGTTAGTTTATTTAGCTCGGTTAGCTTAGTTCGCGGTGTGAACCGAAATATAAAAAGATGCCCGGGTTACGTGAGATAAGCTAAGTTAGCATAGCTTCGTTCACGGTGTGGCCTGCGCTTTAATTTCTAAGTTACGTACATTTATGACTGTTTAATAGCAACACCGTGAAGAAACCTGCATGTCGAAACAGGGTCACAATACTTGGAAAACGTGAAGTTCTCAACTCGCCTTGGGTTAGTGTGTTGATCCATGACCTAAACTTTCTCCATAGAGGAGAATTTTACATGGCGTGCATCCCCTGCCTGCATATGTGTTCCCTGAATGCTATAACTTGAGTGTTTTTAAGACGAGAATCAATAGGCAATATGTGCGTACTCCGTAGTCGACCTGTAGGGCTAGCACATCAGGGCGCGACTTGCGCGAGAGCGACGTATATCGCGGGATCTGCATGCGAGAATAGTAAGCATATCGCGCTTTATGTCGCTCTAGCGCAAGTCGCTTCTTGTCGTGATGACTTTCAATCAGGTGAAATAGAGATGAAGTATGCGCTTATTTAAAAAAAAAAGCATTGGATGATTTCGTGGAGTCCATTAGAATTGCGTTTTATTATCGTCATTAATTGTCTTCCTTTTTTTAACGATTATATCACAAATAACTGACTGGTTGTCAAATTACGGTATGACAATTGAACTTAATATCTTCTATTAACTGGTCCTTGCCAGTCATCCTGTGACCACGTGTGTGATTCTTCAGTGAATAACCGCGAATGTTCATTCATCACCATTCGTCTACAGCTCTAGTAGCAGTAGAGCTCCATGTGAAAGAGTTCGTCCGGGGGAGTACTACCACCTTACCTATTTCTACAGCCAAGAAGTAATATGGGCATTACTGCTTTCTGGTTTTGAAGCTGGTGAAATTACTGGCACATGGGACTTGTCAAGTTATGTCTCAGGGTGATGGGCGCAGTGGCAGTGCCCCTGACGTCTAAGATGTTTGCGATTTAAAACTCTGAGTGGCACTGCAACGGTTATGGACAGGCATGTCGCTTTCCACCAGGCGCACGACTCGTTCGTCTCCTCACTTGGTCTCATAAAAAAAGCCCATCTACGGGCCTTGACTTTGACAATGTCGTCTGCCAATCTCATTGCAGGATGTCCCGCGTGTTTGTAGCTACTAGGACTGCACTTCCGCATCCCGAAGAAAAATGTCGAGAGCCGGTGCGGTCTCGAAAATACCGTGAATGTTTCTAGTTTCTAAGTTAATGCGGATGTGAAGTTTAATGCAATGCCGTGTCGATAAGCGTGGTGCGAATGCGAAGTGCCTCTGCCTACCCGATGGGAATCCAAGGGCATGAGTACATGTATGTACGGACAACGGCACATCAGACTACACATTTTTGTTCGAAAATCGCCTCCATTGCAACGGAGCAAGATATGTCAATGTATAGCTTGATGTGCTGGTGTGTGTACGTCAATTAGAATTTCATGTTTGTCAATTTTAGTTCTCGTGTTCTATTCCATAAAGGACTATGGCCAAGATATATCTGAGAGGGCAATGTTATCGCATAGACCTCAAACGTTGAGTCAAACTCTTGGAACACGCCTCCATTACATAAAAAATATGTTATAATTTCAATTACAATTTCATTTTTAATTCATTTTAAATTCCTTTTTGCCTTTATTGTGTTTTGTCATGCGTAATTCCGTACCTTAAATACAGCATTTTTTTCTAATTATTTTTGCCAAGGTTACATGCAACCAACACAGCTTTCCACTTGGCTATGATTCTGATACATATCTTTCGCCTCATCGGATTATATTAAAACTGTTGGCACAGCAACATTAAAGTAACTAATTTTGTATCTGGCAACATTGTGAGGCGGTCTCAGTCTCTTCTCTTGATACGACAACTTGTGGTTTAGTGTAAAATATTGAATTTAGCGTCAAAATATAGTGGTTTCAGGATTGTTTTTTCTTCGCAATAATCATCAGCGCTTAGCAGTAGAGCTCCTTGTGAAAGAACCCAGTAAGTGCTGCCACCATACCTATTCATGCCGCCAACCAGTAATGCAAGCATTACTGCGTTCCGCAAGGGTGCTGTTGAAATTACAGGCAAATAGGACTTATCAACTATGTCTCAACTTGTGCCCCTAAGATCTTTACGATTTAAAGCCCTGAGTAGCACTGTCATGGACAGGCGTGTCGCTTATCACCAGGCGACTTATTTGTCTCGTAACTTGATATTATAAAAAAAATAATTTGAACGCAGCGATGACGAAGAAGCAAGTCGAAAGCCCTGCAATCAGTAAGAAGGTCAAAACATGGACGCGAAGGCGTTGCTTTTCCGAGAGACAATTTGGGAAACAAACGACTGTCTGTAAAGTGGTCAATTATGTTCATGGCAAAAATTATTTGCTTACGAGAAAAACTGTAAAACTACCTTCAATTTTAAGCTATATTGTTCTAAGGTCTTGAACACCCAAAATCTTCCAAGAAGTTAAGCTCGAAATTTGCTTTCATAAGTAACCTGTTCATGGTTATGATTGTGTTACAAAGAACATAAACATAAATCTTAGAGGACTTCACCGTCTGATGAGATAGTAGTCAAATGCTTAGCTCTAACCAATAAAAGCGACCTTGTTATTATATACATAAAAGGTACTTTGCTTTGGGGCCATGCTGCCGATATTATTAAAATATCGTA